AAAATAAGAAATAAGGGGAGAAATTATTCAATCAATCAGTCAAATCCATCAACCAATTTCCACCCGTAAATAAGTCAGACTTGATGATTGAGAGACTTCTGCTTGTCGCAGCTCGTTCTTGAACTTGCTTAGTGGATCGCTTAAAGAGCACTTAAAGAGCGACATTTCGCATTTTGCAAATAGCTGCCAACTCGTTTCGGTTTTGGTTTCGCTTTCGCTTTTGTTTGGAAATCAATTATTGCATCAATAATGAATTGGTACCGGCCCGTGCCTCCTATTTGAAACCTTCAATTGAATATTTAAACATTTCCACTAATTGATTGGCATTGGCTGAGTACTTGATGGTCTTTGCCTTTTCTTTTTTTTTTTTTTGTGGCCCTAAGAGCAAAGCAAATGTTGTACCTGTTAAGTGTTTTGTTAACTCTGAAAGGAAATAAAGTATCCGTTAAAGACAAAAAGCAGTAATCGAGGGGCGCTACTGCATGACGCGCGACAGTCACTTACATGCAGAGAAAGAAAGAGCAAGAGAGAGAGAGAGAGAGTCTGAGTGTTGCTGATGAATTAAGCCACAAAAATCCTTATCTGTGTGATTTCATCAGAAATTAAAGGCGTTGAAAAAAAAGGAGCAGAGCATGGAGAAGACCTGCCTGAGAGAGCCATGAAATCTTTTTCGTGTTTGGCTTCGGGTGTGGCACATGGTACATGGGATGATGACTCCGTCGTAGTCCAGGCGAGGTTCCTCCCGGTCTCTTCGCAGACTTCTCATGACTCCCATGGACCTGCACGAAGATCCGGGTGAAGCCTCTACCCCAGTCCTTCAGATCTCTGCATGGGAAATACGTCCAACGTCCAATCCCCCTTTACTATGCCAGTTAAAGTGAACATTTTTTTGCTTACTTAAATATTTATATTAAATATATTTTCAACAAATTTAATATGCTACCTTTTCAAGTTTATATTTTATATTTAAACTAAAAAAATACATTTTAATAAATTTTTATTTAAAGCAAAGTTCCCAGTTCCCAGGTGTTGCTCTCTCAGTTGAGTCAAAGTCTAATTTAATTTCATACTCAAACCGAATATATCACAATTAATGTAAATGAATCCCGTGTGGCATTTCTCGCACACTCTAATCCAAAAGCTTGACCTTGATAGAACCAGAACCAGAACCATTTCATACTCATACACTGACTGCTGTGTCCATTCAATATAAACGCTAAAAATCACTGAAATCTGTCACAATATATTTAAGTTAAAAGCCAGAAAATGAAACTATTGGACAGCGGAACAACCGCAGCTCATAATTCTGTCAAAATTAATTGCAGACTGCTGTAAAATGCTCTGATGGTAGTGTGGTACAGCGTCAGGCCTTCGTTCCTGTTTTCCTGTTTGCCCTGCCTCTTCCTATTATTCATTCACACTGGTATGCCCATCAATCTGTTGTGTGTTGTGGCTGATTAAATCCCAGCAAGGAATGAAGCAGAAGCTGAATCAGAAGCCGACCGGAATGTACAAAACTTTGTTCCAATCCAACGCCTTCTGACCTTTGCTTTGTCCCTTGCCCCTCCACTGTCTGCACTGCCCATTGCCTATTGCCCATTGCCCATCATCCATGTTCCATCTGCTCCTACTCAGTACAGAGGCAGAGGAGGCATGTCCTGAATTCTGACAGTAGTTGTAATCCGTTTAAAGTGTTTTTGCGGCCTGTAAACATTTTCGACTTTTAATTCACTTGACAGCGGTGGCTGGCTCTCACTCTCAGTCAGTTACACACTCACTGACCCGTTCAGCAGGCCCTTGGCCTTGGCATTGGTATAGGCTTTGGCATTGGCATTGGCATTGTCATTGTCATTGTCATTGTCATTGCCATTGGTTTTTGGCTTTTGGGGTCAGGTGGATCTCTGTGTGCTAGAAAGGTCATGTCCCGGGCAAAAATGTTGTTATTTTGACTGTGGTCCTGTGTTCGTACCTTCACTCAGCTGTCCGATAAGAGCTGGCTAATTAGGTTTCAAAAAGTATGCAAATGATGATGTTTCTGATGACAAGAACAAGCAAATGAAGGAAATTGAGCAGAATTTGCATAGAGTATAGTCATGGAATATCAGAGAAATATATGAGAAGAATAGGCATGAAAATAGGATCAAGAAAAAGATAATTTTAAGAATGAGAAGTGCATAAAACTTAAGAGATACGAATAGCAAGAAAATTGGGTACGAAAAATGATAGTCAAGCAGCAAAAGGAGCAAGGACTATGAACAACAAGTAAACAAGTAAAATGATGCTTAAGTATATGAAATTTCAGTGATAATGGATTATTTTATTGATCCTTGCATCTACAGAAAGGTTAATGTTAATGTATCGAAGTAACGAGGGGAAAACGCGATGAATCCTGTTGCTGGCATTGCAGCATTAACTAATATACTGTTATCGATTGAAGTGCAATTTTTGAGATTAATCGCCGAATATGAACGATTAATGTGCCCCTTGGCTTAGCTTAAGCAACAAACTTTCCCTCTGTGATTTATTTTGCCATAGAACAGGCAAGTTTTTCATTGCCATGCCCCATGTTCTGCTGACAGTCGTTTTAATGCATCGAATGTGTTTTTGTTCGACTTTTAATTCACTTGACAGCGGAGCTGGTCTCAATCCAACACCAGCCACATCCCACTGACCCAACCCAACCCAACACCATGCCATCCTATCACTAAATGATTGACTGACCCCCACAACACCCCCTCTCAGGCCCACGGCCATCGCATTGACTTTAGCTTTTGTGGCCAGGCGGTTGGTTCTGTGTGGCGCGGGGGGGTGGGCGTTTTGTGAACTAGAAAGGTCATGTCCAAGGATAAATGTTGTTTTGACTGTGGTCCTCCTGTGTTCAGTCTCGTGTCCGATAAGCGTTGAATTTGGCAAATGAAATGTTCGGTAATTAGGTTTTTGGATGGAATGCAAATGAATGCGAATTAGGATGTTGATGTTAGGCACGAAAAGAGGATGAAACAACATGAAGCAAAAAGTCCATTAACGAATAATGAGACTAAGAATAAGTAGACCAATTTTAGTTCAAATATGAAGACGAATGGGATGGGTATATATTATATTTATTATAGGAATTATATGCGTATAACACTCTAATTTAATATTGTGCTGTGCCGTAAGCGAAAGCAGACATTTCTTTTGAACTTTACCAGTGCTTATGAATAGTTGTGGCCCATGCCACACACTCGATTCATATTTTAAACAAATATTTCTCAATTAATATAAATGAATCTGCTGCCCCAGGGGCCCCTGAGGGGCGGGCGGCTGGCAATGTAATGTGGAAACCTTTAACACTCTAGCGCCCGACCTTAAACCCCTTCAGAGAACAAGATTTTAATGTGGCATGTGCCGCGGCATAAACACAGAACACAGAACAATGAAAAGGCCAAGAAAGCTTAAAGACTTGGCCCAAACCATGCAAGTGGGCGGTGGGTCGGGGTGGGGTGGGGTACTTGTAAGGGTCTTAGTTCGGGAGGGTTTATGTCAACGCGTTGGACTTTAATTAATTACCGGGAAAATTGTTAATATTTGCTGTACTCTGGCAAGACCCTCATACACACACACACACACACCCAGAGCCTGCTTGAACAGACCCTGCTCCATTTGCTTGCTCTCATAAAAAGAAGATAGAGAGAGGAAGCGACAGAGTGCAGAGTGCATGGTCCGTGTTGAGTGCTTTGTCGTGTGGTCGTAATTTAATTTTTTACTCTAAAAAAAAAACCAGAATGAACGCAGGAAGCAATAGCGAAGAGGAAGAGTGAAACAAGAGAGCGATAGAGAAAAAGAGGAGGAAGAGAAAAAATAGTGAAACGAGAGGGAGCGAGAGAGAGAGAGAGAGAAGAAGAAGAAGGTCTCTCGAAAGTATGCAATGCCAAATTATGTTATGGGAGGCCGCACCGTGTAACTGTGTGTGTGTGTGTGTGTGTGGCAACGGATGCAAAAAAAATGGTAAAATGCAAAGTAGCCAAAGAGCCAAAGAGCCGCCGCCTGCAATGCCTCCAATGGCGTGGGGGAGGGCGTGGGGGCTAAGCTAAATCACAGACCAATTGAAAGTAAAGCTAACTGCGAGAGTAAAAAATTTGAATTTATATCCAGCCCAGCCTACTTTAAAATCGATTATGACCTGGCAGTGGTCTCCGATTTTTTTTTTTGGCATGCTGCGGCTTCTACCAAAAAAAAAGGGAATTACGTTGCTTCAGCTTAAAGAAATTGGAAGGTTTGGGAGGTTTTTCGATACATACTTTAAGTTGATTTTGGGAACAGCTGCAAAACCACGATTCGAACACGATTTGTACACAATGCTAGAGCTATCCACCAACTAGATGAAATATGAACTGAACGCAGTGGAGAGTGCTACAGGAGGAGACAGCTTACACTGTGTCTGAACAGTCACAACGAAGACCGGCTTATTGGAACGCCAAACAGATGGATGAGCCTGGCACTGTGGCAAAACAAAGCCAAGCAGCTGGTCACACACAGCAAGTGCAAAGGCTTCCCTTCCGCCCCCGAATCAAAGGTTTCTCGCGAGCTTCTCCCTGGCAAACCCTTCCAAGCCACTGGAGGAAGTCTCCTCCTGCTCAAGCGCCGCTACCTCAAGGGGGCAGGCCAACACAGACTTGGCCGGCGACTCGGAGGAAGACAACTTGATGCAGAGCTCAAAAGATATCCAGAATCCAAGTGCCACAATTATTATATATATTTTTACTAGCACAAGTTCTTAATAAAAAAAATTAATATATTTTAATAGAGCTCTCAAAAAAGACTTTAAGACTTCACTTTAGCCTCAAGTTCACTCGGAATGTCCCCACGTGACGTTCATTGCAAGGGGCTACCAAATTGAAGGCCATAAATAAATAAATTCAATAAAGAAAAAATAATTTTTAATGTTTAAAAATCTACAAAAGTTTTTGTTTGCTTTTCTCACAAAACTAATCGTTAATGGATCTTGTATTTTGTTGCAGATGATGGAGCATGCCTGGCGCAACTACAAACTGTATGCATGGGGCAAGAACGAGCTGCGTCCGTTGTCACAGCGTGCGCATTCGGGCAGCATATTCGGGTCGTACGATCTGGGCGCAACAATTGTCGATGGCCTGGACACACTGTACATTATGGGGCTGGAGAATGAGTATCGGGAGGGGCGTGACTGGATTGAGCGCAAATTCTCGCTGGACAACATCAGTGCAGAGCTGAGCGTGTTCGAGACGAACATTCGGTTTGTGGGCGGCATGCTAACCCTGTACGCCTTCACCGGTGATCCGCTGTACAAGGAAAAGGCCCAGCATGTGGCCGATAAGCTGCTGCCCGCCTTTCAGACACCCACGGGCATACCCTATGCCCTGGTCAACACAAAGTCGGGCGTGGCGAAGAACTATGGCTGGGCATCGGGCGGCAGCTCCATCCTATCAGAGTTTGGCACACTGCATTTGGAGTTTGCCTATCTGAGCGACATTACCGGCAATCCGTTGTACCGCGAACGGGTCCAGACCATCCGACAGGTGCTCAAGGAAATCGAGAAGCCAAAGGGGCTCTATCCCAACTTTCTCAATCCGAAAACGGGCAAATGGGGACAACGTAAGTGGGGAGTGGGCGTGGAGTAGTGATTTGTGATCGCTGATCGTTTCTGTTGCTTGCAGTTCACATGTCGCTGGGCGCCCTGGGGGACAGCTACTACGAGTACTTGCTGAAGGCCTGGCTGCAGTCGGGACAGACGGACGAGGAGGCGCGCGAGATGTACGACGAGGCAATGGTGGCCATAATGGACAAAATGGTGCGCACCAGTCCCAATGGACTCACGTATGTCTCCGATCTCAAATTTGATCGCTTGGAGCATAAAATGGATCATTTGGCCTGCTTCTCGGGTGAGTTTTCATGTGCAATTTTTTGTTGTTGAAGATTTCACGTTTAAAACTCTTTTAATCCACCCCAAAAAAAAAAAAAAAAACCAAAGGCGGCCTGTTTGCCCTAGGCGCTGCCACTCGCCAAAACGAGCACAGGGACAAGTACATGGAGGTGGGCAAGGGCATCACAAATACATGCCACGAGAGTTACATACGAGCACCCACACAACTGGGACCCGAAGCATTCCGGTAGAGTCGATGCAGTCCCCTGCTTGAACAGCGCCCGCCCGACAGCGATCTAATTCTTTCTCTCACCCACAGCTTCAGCGATGCTGTGGAAGCACGGGCACTGCGGTCACAGGAGAAGTACTACATACTGCGTCCGGAGACATTTGAGAGCTACTTTGTGCTGTGGCGACTCACGCACGACCAAAAGTATCGCGACTGGGGCTGGGAGGCGGTGCTGGCACTGGAGAAGCATTGCCGCACGCCACATGGCTACTGCGGGCTGCGTAATGTCTATCAGCAGGAGCCACAGAAGGATGATGTGCAGCAGAGTTTCTTCCTGGCCGAAACACTCAAGGTTTGTGCTGTGCAAAAAAAAAAAAAAGACCAAAGGATGACGCTCAAATAATTGATGATTATATTTGCAGTATCTGTACTTGCTGTTCTCGGATGACTCGGTACTGCCGCTGGACGAATGGGTGTTCAACACGGAGGCGCATCCGCTGCCCATTAAGGGGGCCAATCAGTACTATCGCCAGGCGCCCGTTACGCTGCCCGTTTCGAATGCCTCATAAGAGGCCCGACACTACTGGCAGCTGCTTCTCTTGTCTATAGCAATGCACTTTACTTAGCTCTTTATATATACTAAATATATATAAACACCTATTTTTTTTTTGTTTTTTTTTTTTTAATTTTTAAGCTAGCTAACAACGTAATGACAACTACAACTACATAAGGCAAACAAAGAAAGAAAGAAATTAATGGAATGGAATGCAAAGAAATTAAATGAAAATGTAATCCCTAGCAGGCACACAAGAAAACACACACACAAACGAGAAACTTTCAATGTAACATATTTATCCAGCTAAATTATTGTATCCGTTTACATATATATTAGTTAAATTGTAGCTGTCTTCAGACACAATTCTATTCTTGACAGTGGGCCTCAAAGACCCCCCCAAAAACAAAAAAAAAAAACAAAAAACATTTTCAATATCAATACAAAGATGATGAACGATGAATGATAAATGATAAATGATGATGTAGACGTAGGCAAAACACTCTTGATATTAAACGATTGATATGTAAAACGATATATATGTATATGGTATATACTATATAAATGTTAAACTCAGGTGTTCTAATTATGATTTTCCTTGCGTTCTCAAGGCTCTTTCTCTCTAACCAACTAAACTAGAAAGTCTAGTACACTTAATCTTTTAATCATTCTACACGCAATTGTCAATCTATGACTATATCTTTGTACTGTAATGTACGATAATGTACAACTAGCAGGCATTTCTTTTCACTAAACTCTCTTGCTCTAATTTCAAACTTTGTTTTGTAAATATTTAACTTTCAGCTCGCAAAATAAAGGAAAGCATCTCTGGATGAAAATGAAAAAGAGCAGCAAAAAAAAAAAAAAAAAAAAAGAAGAGCATACGAATATTGAATTGATATTTATAAAATATAAATATATTCTAACATAATAGTGTTTATTTTGTAGCCTAAATATATATAGAATATGTTTAGTAATATGATATAGAAACTAGCTTACTTTATGAGGGCAACAATTTAACGCAAAATACCTTAAATCCAGAACATCAAACGAATAGAATCGTAAATTAAATATAATATATATAGCATATATCTCTATATTTGTATTTAATCAAATCACATAGCACGTAGGCAATTGTTGAAGTAAACTAATTATACAAAAGCACGAGCGGAAAGAATGGTAACATAATTTTTAAACGAAATGTAAAGGTTTTTATAATCTTAATCATAATAATTGTAATTGTAATCATAGGTCCAAGCGACAAACACACACACAAAACACCATGGTAGATGAATCATTGAATAGTTTTCAATTTGTTTTTGTGCAGGTGATTTAAACAGACATAAAAGCTACAAAAAAAAAAAAAGTTATCTCAACAAGCTATAAAATTAATAAAAGCAACAAATTTCAAGCCAAGATAAATATAATAAAAAGTAGATTAACGAAACATCAACTAAAAATAAAAAGGAAACAAAAAATAGGGACGAACAATCGAAAAATTATCAATTTAAAAACTCACTTATATTAATAGAAAGGTGAAATAATAAATAAAAATAATAATAAAAACGAAATGTAAATTTTAAAAGTTGAAAAACGAGCTTTAAACGAAATAATTTAAATTAAATGATTTTAAGAGAATCGAATCTTAATAGAAATAACCAACAGATTAAAAAAATCACTAAGCGAAATGATTAAAACAAGTTTTTAACCAAAGCTAAGTAAATCATTACATTTTAATGGAAACACCAAATTAAATTCAAATGATAACAGTTAAAACGAGAAGGAACTTGTGAGTCGCTTCTGTGGACGCGACTCTACTTTTATACCCGTACTCAATCAGTGTATAAATTTGTGGGCTTATGATTTTGTTTTACATTTTACATTTATAATTATCTATAATGTCGATTCCACTTCTGAAATGTAGATTCTACATACACAAAGTAGATTCTTCATCCTCCCCGCAAAGGTCGCGCACTGCATAGGGCAGAGTGTGTGCAACACGAAAGAGAATGAGTAGCGTAGTGATTCAGTGTGATATCACATGAGTTTGGAAGAGATCTTAGGCGCTCATCAAGACGCACAGACAGACATGGCTATATCGACTATGCTATTTTTGCTGATCAAGAATATATATATACTTTATGGGGTCGGAAACGATTCCTTCTCTGCGTTGCACACATCCACTTTTACCACAAATACAATATACCCCTCAACTCTTTTTTGAGTACGGGTATAAAAAGTAACAAATAAAAGATAAAAGAACTAAAAACGAAAAATAAAAAAAATTTATTTCAAAAATATATTCTTTAATTGTTGTTATTACCCTTTTGATATTGGAAAGCTAATTAGTAACGTAAAATAGTTAAAATATCAAGAAAAAGTTAAGACCATACAGAAACACACAAATGATAAAAAAAGATGTATGTAGAAAATTAAAAATTAAAAAGTTTATTAATCACAAAAAAAATAAGAAGAAATTGAGAAATCTAAGAAAAGTGTAAAGTAAAAGTAAAATAAATAAAATAAAACTATTTAAATTAACTATAATATAATGGTAGACTTTACACCAATTTTTTTTTTTGTTTAGATCAAATTAGAATTGAGGCGATTGAAACACATGTGTATTATGATATATACACATATTAGCTATAATGACGCATGGTTTATGTATGTATGTGTCGGGATGATACGATATATAGTATATAGATTCGAATGGCAATATGTAATGCATGACCATGAACGGATTGCATATATCTGCAGTTAATCGACTGCTGGAGGTTACAATTGTATTTGGATTAAAGCATAAGTTTAATAAAGATCTAATGATTAACTTAATATTGAACGTATATTGGATTTTCATATATTGATTCTCATTGATTTTGGCACAGATTTTATACCCATATTTGGGGTTATCAATGGAGTAATTATGATAGGCTTTGTCAGGCAGAAATTAGACCGGGAGAAAGTGAAGCCAAATACTTATGTATATTCATCTTAAAGCTTATTTTTTTTACCGTCCTACTTTGCTCAGGACTTTGAAGATGCATTAAAACCCTATACAAATTTCAGTTTATTTTTTGTCATAGCTATTGGTTGTTATTTTTTACCGATAGGACGAATAGAGTTTTCTATAGAGAAAAGATCTTTGAAAGAGAACCCCTTGATATATTATTGCTTTACAGAATCTACAGATATCAATCGTTTGATGTAAAACAGAAGGTATATCCTATGTCTGGGATAAAGTCCCTAATAAATTACGTATGGCTGTCGTTTCTTTGGTTGATAATTTGAATGTGCAATAATTTCTGGTTTTTCAAGCCGCAGCTCTACATACGTACAAGCATTCATGTGTACTCGTTCTTTATCTCCACATGTAATGATAATTTATCAATAGTTTGTCTAACTTTAGCTAACACAACACCCCTCAGTAATCAATGGATGCGCTTGGAGCACACAAATATGTACATACATAACTACCATATAAGGGGGCACTCAAAGCTATTCGCGTGCTCAATTAATGAGCCGCCAACCCATATACATATATAAATATATAGTCAGTGCGTGCTTAAACTATATGTATGCCCGTCTATATGTTCAAGTGTGCGTTTACTTAATGAAAAAACTTCGCACAAAAGGCAAGCCACAAAGGAAAGTGAGGTTAACAACATTCGAGAACCCGGAAAGGGAGTCCGGCAGACAGTCAGTCACCCTGTCCCCGCTATACACTCGACTCCACTTCACTCAATTCCAACCAAACCTCTCTCTACAATTGCCGTTCAAAGTCCAACCAGCCAAGCATCAAAAGAGCTCTTGCAGTGGCCATGGATCTGTCCCGGAATGGAGAATGGCAACGGGAACAAAGCATAAGCATAGAACGGAGCAAACTGCATGCACATCCACCCACCCACTACCGAAAGATTTGCAACAAAAATCGCTCGCACAAAGGCAAAACAGAGCGAAAGAGCAGAAAGCAGCAGAGACCGGCCTCTCTACTGCCTTACTCTTTCGCGTGTCACTCTCTCGCTCTCTGGCCATCTTTGTGTTATTTGTGCTGTGTTCTCTGTTGGGTTGTTGTTGCTCCTTTGTTGGCTAGACCAAGGCAAGGTGTTCTCGATGTAAGGTGATGTTCCGCAAAGGCTTTCTCATTTTTATTCAGCGCGCGAGAGCACCCAGGAACAGGAGACAACAAATAAATAAGAAACCATGAAGAATGGTAATCCGCACCTTATCGTAATGCACCCTGGACGAGCCCACCAAACGAGACGACGACCCGAGAGGAGAGCCAAGCACAGCTGGGTTCTTTGTGTGTGTTTATGTTGTCTGGCTGCTTCGCCACCCTAGCTTTTCAGATCAACAGAGAGAGAGAGAGTTTGCTTAGGTTGATTTTCCGATAGCTGCAGTTGTGCGCTCATGCTTTCAGGGTATCTGCAGGTCGACTCTTGAGCTGAGCGCTGTGTTTCGTTTTTGTTTTGGTCGGTGGTGCGAATGGCGGCGTCGCTTCGAGCAAACCGCACAGTTCGTTTCGAGTGTTCGAGGAGAGCGCCAGCAAAACTCCCATTGAAGCAGCCACAGCACTGCTCCCGGCTCCAACTGCATCTCAAGTGAACCCCTGATCTTCGAGTGACAGTGTTTATTTTTTTTTTGCCAGTGCAAGTGCCAGCAGAATGCCCTTCCCCATCCATCCGCCCAAGCAGATGCCGTGCCCCCACTGGCAGCATTTCCCCATCAGCCCGGTGGACACCAAGGCCAATCCGTTCGATTCCATGGGTGGAGCCGCTGGCGCTGCCATTAGCTCCGCTGCGGCGAACAAGCCACCGGAGCCAGTTTCCTATCGCTACTGTCTGCAGTGCAAGGCGAGCGGCAAGGATGGGGGCAACAGCTCCGACCGGGACTAACCGGGAGGGCATTGCACCGGACCGACCGACCGGCTGGGCTCACCTTCGAGTCACCCACAAAGCACCATCAGCCACAACTGCTAACCACAATCCACCTTCAACGCTATCATAATCATCATCCACTTCAGACGCTTCCAATGTGACACTAGAAGAAGATAGAGAAAGCGCCCGCGCCCTGGAGTGTTCCTGCTGCTGGAACACTCGAAAGTTCTGCTCTGCTCTGCTCTGCTGGAGACGACACTTGGCAGCGGGTGCAGCGGCACCAAAAGTGCATTTGGGAAACTTAATTAAAACGAAGAATGTGAAAATTAAGTTTTTTTGTTTAAGCCCAAGCAGATGTTTTTTTTTTGTTTCTATTTTTACTCGATTTGCGTGCCAATTTTCGTTTTAATTTAAGCATTTTGTATTTAGAGCTAAAGACTACAATTTATACGATTTTATATGGAAATTAATAAGCACGAATAAAACGCACGACGCATTTAAAGCCAGCCTGTATTCGGGGGTCGAAACATTTGGATACTCTTGCATATTTATTGTGTCTGACATTTGCTTCAACATTTATTCCAAATCATAGTACTGTTTGAAAGTGTATCAAAACGAGTTCCAAACGTACATATGTACATATGTTACTCCATGCGTGTGCCTGTGTGTGGGTTCTTGCTTGAGCGGCACAGTTTTTGTTGGGCCTCAACTCTGACTTTGTTATGTATGTATATGTTCTCGTCTTCAGCTTCGCTCTCAGCCGATCGTTTCGTTTCTGTTTTTATCAATTTCTCAAGGTCAAACTGTACAAACAAAGGTGCGATAAGCCCAGCGCCAGCGCGGCTTGAAATTTGTTGGTCCCCGTTCTGGCATATTCGTTGCTGCTGCTTCTTTGCCAGCGACGCGTCGCGATGATAGGTACCAAGAGAGAGAGAGAGATAGAGAGCGATAAGTTCAACAAACCGTTGGAACGCGGTGGAGAGTAAATAGAAAGCAAGAGTGAAGAAGTGCGCGTGGGAATGTGTGTGTGGGTGGAACGGGTGGGTAGGGGCAAGGAGACTCCGTTGCATTTGCCTGAATCAGGCAAAGATGCACTCCGTGAGTGTGAGTGTGTGTGTGTGTGTGTGGCACAGTGATGTCTCACAAATGATAGCTCTAATGCTCCTTTGGGTGTTTCCTATTTCCAGGCATCCTTTTTTTTGTATCTTTTTTTTATCTGGTGTGTCCCCTGAGCTCCTATGGGATTCATCTGCAGAGAATAGTGCGCTAGTTCAATATGGCATACAAATACCGATCGACTGCACCATATTTGTCTACCAGTCTGTACTATATAAGGGCTTATCGCGTGATGAGAGAGACCAGACCGAGAGTCAACGAATGCGTGTGTGAAAAAAACACACCTCCTACAATCAAACGTTTCGTGTTCCTGCTTGTCCTCTACCTCACCTCCTCATCACTTTTTGATAACTTAAATAAACTTCATTAAAAGTTCCAATTGACGCGTTAATACTCATTATTTAGGGTATTTTTGGCTTATTAATTATTTTACTGTTGCTTTTAATACGCTTATCTTCTGATATGGTCGTTATCTGGGGGGTGTAGTAAACGTGCCCCCAAAAACAGACGCACACAAACACTGAGACATAAAGATATGAATGCAGAGGAGGCATATGTACAGACAAACATGTACACACAAACAGTTACGGTCATTAAAATAGTAATGCTGCTATAAGAGATTTATATTACATATGTATTTCATTCGAATCCTGGTTCATACGCCGTAAAAGCTGGCAGTATTCAATGCAGAGGTTGGCTGTGGGAGAGCCTGTACTATTAATATCAAAGATTTGTATATGAATATCATCTTCATTGTATAAATCATCTTATTATATAAATAAACAAATAATTCTGCATCATAATCATTTATACTTAATCATCTAGGTAAGTTGTAAAACAAACAAATGAATGAAATCCGCCTGCTGTGCGAAGACATTATTGGGGCACTGTATGTACATTTGTACATATATCTCACTGCGGTAATAACTTGCTCGATCTTTTTTTCTGCTCTCTTTTGCTCGTCACTCACTCGCACACTCTCAATTGCCATCATCCTGTTCGTTCGTGTGCCAAAACAAGCTGTTTGTGCTTTTTAAAAGCTTTTATTCGTTTGACAGCTTGCAAAAAAAAGCATGGCTCTCTTTTGCGCCCTCTGACTTTCGCTCTTTCTCTCTGTGTAAGCTCTTTTGCTGGTGCCTGCCGTTCGTTTGTTCGGTTCGCGTCATGTGCTCTAGGCACCGCTCCATTTCGTTTCGTTTCGTTTTTGGTTTCGTCTCCTCCGTCGCATCTTCCATCTTCGTGCTAGAAAGAGGAGCCGCCACCGCCACGGCACGCATCCACTCAAAAGACAGTGAGTGCGCCTAGCCGAGGCAGCAGCGAGGACATGGACATGGGAGCAGCAGCCACAGTCGCATAGTCAAGCGCAGCAGCCACAGTCGCCAGCAATTGCAAGGGCTCCGCCTTCGAGAGGTCCGCCGCCCGAGAGTCCGAGTTGAGTTTTTTTTTTTTCATGTGTGGGTGTGTGTGCTGTTCTACTCTGTTCTTTTCTTTTCTGTTCTACACTGTTGTGCACTACTGCTCTGTACTGGTTCTGTTCTACTATGTTGTGCTCTGTGCTATTCTGTTCTATTCCCACGCACCAAAACGTGTCCTGATTTGTCCTGCTCTGCTCCGGTTTTTGCGTGCGTTTGTGTGTGTAGCGATGCAGCCAGTGCCACCGCGTGGGAGCTTTGCGGGGCAAAGCAGCAGCAGCAGCGATGCAGCGGCAGCGACACCAGTGTGTAACGGTAAAGGCTTAGAGTGCGACGTGTGCCAATTGTTCTGTCACTCTCCCTCCCTCCCCCGCTCTTGTACTTGTTTCATGATTATTACATACATACATATATGCCGTTTGTTTTATCTTTTTTTTTTTTTGCTGCCTTTGCATTTGCCGTCTTCTTCTTTTGGCAACTACGTAATTGCGCTGCTGCTGCTGGTCTTGCTTTTTTTTTCCAGTGTGTGTTTGTGTGTGTGTGTGTGTGTGTGTGTGTGTGTGTGTGTGTGTGTGTGTAGAGTGTGTGTGTGTGAGTGTGGTGTGCGGGTGAATGCAAAAGTGCGCGAAGCAAAATCACATGCATATACATATGTATGTACACATGTAATCGTAATGTACGGCTGTCAATAGAACAGGTTCTAATTAGTGTGCGTTAACGGTGCTTCCTTGTGGTCGCAACAGGCCCCCTCCCCACCACCCTCTCACCGAGAATGGGTGTGTGTGTGTGTCTATGTGTATGAGGTAGTCTTCTCTCTTTTGTTGTTGTTGTTGTTCTTTTGCATGTGCTCTCGTTCACTCCCATGCCAATAGTGGGTGTGTGTGTGTGTCTGTGTGCAATAAAATTTCATAATGGTTTTTGTAGCAGCTAAGCTAAGCCAGGACAACCACCCCACACTACCCAAAATGTATTTCCAATTTTAAAATGCGGCCCCCAAAGAGGCGAATAGAACAGCAAATGTAGCGGAATATGGTAACCAAAAATACAAAACGAAATTCAACAAAAAAAAAAAAACCAACAACAATAAAATTGATAAAACTTTGAGGCCAAAAGTTCTCCGGAAAAAGTCAAAAAGTTTGCCGGATAAAGTGACCCAAATTTATTGAGCCGCCCGCCTGCCCTCGTAAATAGTTTCCCCTCTCTTATTTGGAGAAGTTATTTAAAATTCTGAAACTGAAACGCTTATCCATTTTGTATTCTTATTGTGTGTTTTCAAAGTTTTCTTTACACATTTTTCGAGTTTTTAGTTGTAGGTGTCTTCAAATGTTTCCTTTAAATATTTATAGAATATATTGTACCATAAAACCCAAACAGTTTTAGAACTTTTTATTTTTATTTGTCTGATATTTTGTCATTTTTCTTTTTCTTTATGTAGCAAAATCAGTTGAATAAAAGCAGCTGAATTATTTTTTAAATTTGGAGTCCTTAAAACCATAAAACATGCCAACACACATGCTGAAGAGTGCTCCTGTCCCAACCCATTCCATATAACGCTGAAGAGTCACGTTTTTGACCCATTTTCACATGCTTCATGCCTCGGAGCACAAAAGCTGTGCCTCATCTCTGGGCCTCTTTTGAGCCTTGTCGTATTAACCATTGAATCCACTTAACCCACGAGTGGGTCCTTGTACTATTGCCAGGCCCTGTCATGTCTCTCTGATGTAATTCCATTTGATTTGCAATGGTTAACCAGATTCCTGCCTGCCACAGCCACAGACATTCGGCATTTTGCGGTTTCTAGTGTATGCGGCTCATGCCCCCCCCACCAATGCCAAATGCCCCACGCCCCAGGCCACCGTGCATGGGTGCATGATTGTACATACATATGTGTATTAGTGGAAGTGGTTGGTTGTACTTGCCACATGAATATACTGTAGCAAGTCAGTAAGTTTGATAGCTTTTGGGTGTGTATGTATGTATTTAGTTGTTGTTGCCTCAATTGTGACAGAGATAATTCAACTGTAATTTGTTTGTCTCTCGGTTCTTTCCCTCACTCTCTCTCTCTCTCTCTCTCTCTCGCCAGTAAACCCATTTGTGCCCCCAGGCCAGGGTCCAAGACCAGACCAGACCAGCAGCTCAACTTGTGCTTCCCTCAACCAAACCACCCGAGACGCTACGAACAGCAACGAAACGGAAGTGCAATCATTGAAATGATTGATTGAACGATCGATTGATTTATTTTACCCGCAAAATAAACCTTAACCTCACACAGCCGATGCCTGGACACGTGATTGGATCTCCGGACTAAAGATCAACTGAAACACCGAGACGCAAAACCAAGAACAGACTCATTTACTGGTGAGTATTTTAAGAGTTGTTTTGGAGTAGCTTTGAGTCGGTGGATCAGTGAGAGCGGATGTTCATTAAGAAACACAAAGAGAGAGAGGATCGACACAGACAGGTTTCTTCACAAGAAAACGTTTAGCGATAGGCTTCTTCAGCGATAGGCTTCTTCAGCGAGTGACTCTTCAGCGAGTGACTCTGCAGCAAGAAGAAGAAGAAGACGGTTTCTCTGCTATGAAATATCAGCTTTAATTAATATTTTGGATCCACAACTCCGACAGACTCCTCTTTTGAACATTTGAATGTTGACGCTGTCGTCTGGTCCACATGATCTTCAACGCTCTACTGCAAGCTGGTGCAAACACACAACCAAACAAAAACATTTTATATATGTATGCACACCAACCATGTTCTTTTGTTGCAGCAAGCCCATTGGTTGGGCCCCACACCAAACTGGCCCATCAATTTTGGTTCTCCTACCCGCCACCGGGCGCTGGCGGCGGTTCCTCAAGTGAGTTTTACAGTTTTCGCATGCGAGCGCAGCATTTTGGCCCCTTTCTACTACTAAATACTAAGAAATACTCTACTACTACTTCTCCTTCTCCTCGTAACCTGCTCCCCCATTTCATTTTTGTTGTTTGTCCATCGGTGTCTATGTAATTTGATTGATCGATATATGAACGGCAAATCGTCCTATAGCCAATAATAGTCTAGCCTGCAGTCTCCTCCCCGACGGGCACTGGCCAGCATTGGGCAGCAATCTGGGCACCCAGATGCTACGCTGTTGGATCTGTGTCCCCAGCAGCTTGGAGCGTATTGTCCTTTATTCTGTTTCGAATTTTTTTGTTGGGTAAAAAATTTCTACTTCTGGTTTCTTTCTTACGTTTTGGTTATCGTGAATCACTGTATGACTTAGGCCATCCTATGAGTCCTCTCTCTATATATCTTTGGTATTATCTGTAATTTACATATCATGCAAAAATACATATATATATATATCTCTGTACGTACGTATATGTCTGTATGTCTGTGTCCTTGTCTTGGTACGTTAATTGATAAGTGACTCCTCTCAATACATAAATATCTAAAAAAAAAACAATATTGTATATCTCTCTATATATTGTCGTGTATTACCTGTGTAACCTAATCAGACATTAGCAGATGATTTCCCTATTTCGTTTTGGCATTACTTAGGTAAATATATCGTATCGTATACATATATCGTACTTATATATCATTTGATTGTAGTTAGGAAATGATAGCTATAGACTTATTACAAAAAAAAAAAAAATAACTCTTCAAAATAACATAACCCTAGAGCCAAGGCCCCGAATCACAGAGAGTTGTTTCGTTATTATACGAGTAGATTGTGTAAACAGCATAAGAACATTTTCGTATCAATGATTTTTATTAAGTTTTCTATAATTTTTCTTAGCTGCAGCTATGAAAATTGTTTAGCAACAAACAAAAACAACGTTTTTCAAATGGGTTAAGCCAACAAAGGGTTTTAAAATGTTCAAATGATATAAAATCTATCTATCTATTGCGCAATGGAAAAGTGATGCCCATCTTGTATACTTTGGCCAGATGGGCAGCACTCTTTTTCGCACACATTATTTGTTGGCTTTTTACCTCTGAAATGAGCTATAATTAAGATTTAGTTCCAATTCAAGTGCTAATAATTGAACCAATTTGTGTTTTGTCTTTCTTTCTTTTGCTCTTCTTTGATTGTAACGTCTTTCAACACCACAACAACAACAACATCAACATCAACATAAAAAAAATATATACTATAGTATAATAGTTGCAATTGTAAACCAATAAGGAATCAAAATACATATAATCAAAGCTAAAAAAGAACAAAAAGAAAAAACCAAAAACCAAAAACCAAAAACAAAACCAAACCGAACAGCAGAGAACGAGAGAGATTCTTCGTATAATCCGGCGATCGATCCCTTTTTTTTCTTCGCTTTCGCTCTCGCGCTCTCTGTTTCTCTCTCACTCTGAAATCTGTTATCCATATTTCTGACACGCTCTCTCTCTCTCGCTCGCTCGAATGAAACACACACACAAAAGACACTCAACGCACTCACCTAACGGTATTATAGCGGATACGAATTCGATTTCGATTCGGCTTTCGGGCTTACGGTTTTCGCGTTGCGCGCTCGGTTTTTAAAAGTGCTTTCCCCCCATAGAGAACATATATTAAATAAAACAAAAGAAAACGAAACGAAACGTAACGAAACGAATACAAAACGAAGCGATGCAAAAGAAATGAAATGAAAGGAAAAATAACAGGAAAGAAATGAGAAAAAAACACCGTTAAGCAAAAAAAAACACGAACATCCATAAGCCCACAAATAAACAAAAAAAAACAACAACAACAACAACAGTAACAGTAACAAAGAACAACAGTTACAACAACATCAGACACACTTTGAGGTAAGGAAGTAAGTCTTTCTCTGTCTCTCTGCCACATACCCTACCTTCCCGTACCGCCATCACTTTTTGTGTGTCTCTATCTCTCTCTCTCTCTCTCTCTCACTCTCTATCTCTGTGCCTTAATCTCTGGTCTTGTAGTTGTGTTGGCAACCTCTGCCCTGTCCTGCCCTGCTATGGCCTGCTATGGCCACCATACATTATGCCCCTTAGTGTGAACCCCCTAGTTGAAAGCAAATTCCGTTATACCGTTGACTGTTCCGTTACGTACTCGTAGATTTTCTGTTTTCGTTTCACGTTCCACCATCTCTCGCTCGCTCTGCTTTCCGCTAATGTTTTCCTTGAGTTTTTCTACCATATTTTCTTTCCTGGTTTCTGTTTTTGTTCTAGTTTCTTTTTCGTTCTGTTTTTTTTTTCTTGTCTTGTAGAAAATTTTAGTTGAATGATGAGCCCTGCCCTGCCCCGGACACGCCCAAAAAAAAAAAAAAAAAAAGAAAAAGAAAAAAAAAAGAAACGAATGTTGTTTTGTGTGCGTGCACTGCTGCAACCCACTGTACGGTACGGTACGACGATGTGCCGTGTTTAACCGCAGATAAATCTGACAACGGGTGAACCGTTAAGCGGGTAAAACGGTTCAAGCGGGTTCTAGTCAAGGCTAACACAAGCCTGTGTGTGTGTGTATATGTGTATGTGTGGTGATGCCTGTGTGTTTGTTTGTGTGAGTGAGTGGTGGGTGGTGGCGCTACACTGAGCTCAACAAGTTTATCCCTCCAGCCTCCTCTTCCACGTCCTTCTTCTCCTCCTTCATGCTGCTGCTGATGCTGCTGCTGATGCTGCTGCATGGCATGCTAACCTTGCTCATTGTGTATGCGCACACTCTTACTCGTATGCGCCGTATGTGTCGTACATGTGTGTGTCTGTGTGTGTGTGTGTGTGTTTGAATGTACATACTTACACGCGTTCAAGCGGTTGAAGCGGTTAAACGGTATGCTAACGGGTGTAAACGGTTTGGTTCTCCCAAAGCTTAATAATCGCCTGACGCAAGTCGCTGAAAAAAAAAAATACAGAAAAAAAAAAAATAAAACATACAAGAAAGACAAGACGCGACGCGACGAGAGGCAAGGCAACGCAGCGACGACTAATTGGGATAGTCCCCGTCCCGGCCCGGCCCGGCCGTGCGCCGTTTTTGTTCGGGTCAGTGTCGTTTGGGTCTTTGCCAGCGTCTGGCCTGCGCCTGGCCTGGGTAGAACTGAGAACTAGACAAGAGAACCTGAGTACCGAGTACCATGTCGCCGCCGCGCAAGCTGAGCCGCTACCTGATGGCCGTACGCGGACGTGGCCAGAACCAGGAGACGGAGTGTAAGTAGAGATGGAATATGCCCACACCCACAACACAAAACACCAAACCAAACTTCGTGCCAGGCGATTTGCCAAAGCCAGTGCTAGTGCCAGTGGCAGTGCCAGTGCGTGGCGTGGCGTGTGGTGTATTTTGGTGCGTGGTATTTGCTGCTTGTTGTGTTTGTTGCTTGCGTGCGTGGGGGGGGCAGGGGCAGGGGGTACGGTATGGACATGGGCATGCTCTCTCGATGTTGTGGTGTTTGGCCTTGATATAATCAACAAAATGCAAAATGCAAATGCCAATGCAAATGCAGATGCTGTGATACTTACTTATGTACATACATCTTCTGTATGTAATGTAAATGTGTGTAAATGTAAATGTAATTGTAGTGAAATAGCATGCTGCTCGTTTCCCCCCTACCCATATTTAGTAATATTTTTGGAGTAATTTTCTCTGCATGCCCTCGAAAAACGCTACGCATAAAATAACAGTAACAAATACCGTAACAAAAAGAAAAAGAAAAATAAAACAGAAAACAATTCAAAACAAAAACAAAAAAAAAAAAACAACTGTAAAGCCAAATATTGAAATCAGCTTGAACATTCGACTTTTCTCTCTCTCTCTTTCTCCCACTCTCTCTCTCTCTTTCTCCTTCTCTCTCTCCCTCTCTTTCTGTCTCTGTCTCTCTCTCTCTCTCTGTTGTGCTTTCTCTTTTCTCTGGCAGACAGCAAAACTGCACAAAGCGACGAGGATAAGCAGCGCGATCGACAGCGAAACGAGCGCGAGGCCAAAAAGGAAGAGCAGGACGCCATTAACTACAAGGTGAGTGTGTGTGTGTCGCTCTCGCTCTGAGTCGCTCTCTCTCTCTCTCTCTCTCGCTCACACTCTGTGTCTCATTCGCTGAGTCGCTCTCAGTATGTGCGTGTGCTAAGAGTGTGTGTGTGTGTGTGTCAACAAGCGCGTAATTAGCCCAACAAAAAGTCAAAAACCAATTAACAAAAGCAGAAGCCAAAAGCAAACGCAAAAGCAGAAAGCAAAAGCAGAAAGCAGAAAGAAAACACAAGCAAAAAGCTGAACCGATAACTAATTAATGATAATCAAATACGTATATAACCGATAACCCGATAACCCGATAACATGGCGGCTTAACACACAAACAACAATTTATAGTAAGAATGCACTTTGCAACAATTGCATGCAAACAGCGCGACAAGGATCAACGGGAGGCACGCTTGCTGGACTTTGAGATACGGCGTCAGCAGAAGCGCGAGGAGCAGAACCAGCAGCGCCAGCAGCAGCACCAGCAGCATCAACACCAGCAGCAGAAGGAGCAGCAGCAGCAGCACCAGCACCAGCACCAGAAGGATCAAAAGGAGCTTAAAGAGCAATCATCATCGTCATCGTCGCACCATTATCCGCCCAGCGAAAAGAGTCCACCAACAGCATCCACATCCCAGCAGCAGCGCCAGCAATTGCAACTGCATCAGCAACAGTCAACACATCAACAGCAGCAGCAGCAGCAGCAGCAGCAGCTGCAGCAGCAGCTGCAGCAGCAACAGCAGCAAGGCACGACCAGCGGCAGTGGGAGCAGCAACACACCCGTGACACCAAAGCTACAGACCCCGCCTCCAGATCGCTGTATACCGCCAGCGTTTCGTAGCCGATCCATTGAGCGAGAAATTCACTACGAGCGCAAGCGTTACTCCACTCCGGAATCGGCAGAGATCAAGGTTTTTGCATAGATTTACTCCCACACCCCCACAACCGCCTCTATCCCACACTCTCTCTCTCTCTCTCTCTCTCTCCCTCTCCCTCTCCCTCTCTCTCTTGTTCTCTCTCTTTCATACTGTGTACTTCTTGTGCTATGTCATATTCTGCACCTTGTTCCTTGGCATTGTTATCCCCCATCCCGGCTGATCCGTTTATGTCCTGATTTTGTTTCCTTTATTAGGAGCTTGCAAGCACAGCATCATCATCGTCCATTCAGCAGAATTTTGCAGCAGGCGTCAGCGGGGGCGCAGTAACAGCAGGCAGAGCAGCGTCTGCGTCAACGTCAACGGTAGCAGCAGCAGCGGTAACGGGTCAAACGACGACATTGGCGGGGCCGCCGGCAACAGCTGCAGCTGCAACAGCTGCCATCATTCCCATCTTGCCGCTCGGCGTTGCCACGCTGCGCGATGATTCCACCGAGTCCGAGCAGTCCGTGACATGTGCACAGAACCAGCAGGATGCCTACCATCGCATCATGTGAGTAATTATTCCATATCCATATTTATTCTAAATTATATATTACAAATTAATGCCAAACGATCGGGCAAGCCAACCATTTTCCAACTAAATATAATCACTATATTTATTTTACTTAATGTATTCGTTATTCAATTTATTTGGAATTGTTGTAAAGACTATCGCGTGCTGTGCTTTGACACATTATTATTCGTAGACCCCCCACGAATGGGCATTTTATTGAACCGCCCCATTGCATTTATAATATCGGGTTGCTCATTGAAATAATTCAGATGATAATTGTCTGATATTTATTTATTCTGTTGTAAATTGAATTCAGAATCTATCTGGTATAGTTAAGTTAGAGTAAGATTAAGTGCTACTACGCGGTAAACAAAACTAAACGAAACGATTGTTAAAACGAGAGATACTACGTGGCTTAAATCTTAAACTAGTCTCCTAAACTATATCAGAAAACGGCCCACAAATGCAGCTGCCAGAAACTGAGCGAGCAATGATTAATTTTCTTATCGTTTTCGGATCGCTTACAATTTTTTTCCTACACTGGGATCCACTGAAATTTGTTGTATGTTAGATATATACTTACTGTTTGGTATATGGTTATATTTTTATGTTTCATTTTGCTGCTTTAACCCTCAGGAACATGTGCAAATACCCGCATTTGAATACATAATTTACTTGTAGCTTTTATGGGAACTGGGGGGGCAAATGATTTACATATATGTATGCACACACATATGTATGCATGTACATACTATATATGCGCATTTTAGATAAAGCAAAAAAATCTAGTGCATACACACAGTGGGTCTATAAATTGTATCTACCAAAGAGAACGTTAAACAAGTCATAACTATATAGAAGTATGTATTCATTTATATTTATTTGATTATACTGTTGAGTGGTCCTTAAACATGATCTCCCAGTCATTGCATTTAAAACGAGATAAAGCTTTTATTCAAACACAACCAGTAAATAGTTTGCACAGTGCACAGACTTCTCTGCCACACTGTTTGCACTCTAACCCGCCCCGCCGCACCACCGCAAACCATTTGCCTTTGACTCGAATAATTCAAAATGCTGTCGTTAGCATTCGGGCCAACCAACCTTCCGCCTAAAGTCAGCAGGCGGAGATTTTCCACTTGCCCACACTTTTCACTGCGCTCCTCTCTCTCTCTCTCTCTCTCTCTCTATCTCTCCCCCTCTCTTTTTTAGTGCTCTCTCTCAGAAAGCTTTGCAATGCACCAAGCGACGACTGAGAGCCAGCTTTCAGTGTGGCAGTTTTTCTGTTGCATTTTTCGTTGCATGGCCACACCAAATGCAGTGCAAAAATTTCAACCTTCGCATAGCAGAGACACGAACCACAAACGAAATTTAAATTCCGCCGTATTTACTGCCAGGCCACCATTTTCTTGCCAACTTTGCAAAAAGTCACGTATACGCCGTGTGGTACCCAAAAAGGTTTCGCAAAACTAAAGCTTACGGCAAGCTTATGTCCAAATTAGGTAAAGAATTTACAAACATACTTTATGTGTGCAAAGTGCTTGGCATTCTTTATTGTGTACACTACTTGTGCAAATAGTTAATATATCTGCCAAATCAAGTATACGCAATATTACAAATTTCCAGAAGTTTTTTGAAAATAATGTGGAATGCCGCTAAGCTAAGCTTTTAGTGTTATTAATTCTGGAAACAATAACCGGTAATTCTATTTCTTATAACCATGCACAAATAATTGATATTTCTTGGATATCAAGTATACGCAGTGTTTTCGTAGTTGGCTGTTGAAATTTTTGTTTAAACTAGTCTGGGCTGTGGCTTGTGAGGTAATAAATTATTATTGAATTTATTATTTCAAATTCCCTAAGATATATTTTTTATTCTGTATTATTTATTAGTATTATTTTTTAGTGTTAGTTTTTTTATGTATGAGAATTCTTCTGTTCTGGGGAATACCTTATATATTATAGACTCTTCCCTTTTGCAACTTTGTAACAAAAGACGAAAGCTGAAAATTCCCGAGTATTTCTCATACATATGCAAACATTCTGATAAAAGCCTCCTTGACATTTTCCTAATTGACAAATAAATCTGAGAACTCTCTATCTCTCTCTCTGTGTCTTCTGCTGCTGCTGCTGCTGCAGCAGCCAACTTAGTGCTCTAATTTCTTTTGAATTACTAAGAGGACTGAATGTGCACCGGGAATTCTCATGGACTGAAATCGAAACGAAACGGCACAACGAAAAGAGAGAGCTTCTCTCGGTATGCGGGGTAGGGGGCTTGCTTTGAGAAATCCAACCTTTTGATTTGAATAGCAGCAAGCAGTATTGGAATAGCACCAATTATATATTGTCAGTATGGCCTTAAATTAAAATGGTTAATTTTTCATTAGGGCCAAGCTTTTAATTGTGCTTCCTGCCTGCCTGCCTGCCATCATATGTCTAGATGTTGCAGTTGCAATAGTTTTGCTTTGTTTGATTCTGGTCTGCAGTTCCGGCATCGCTTTCGTTGGCAATGGATCGGAGTTGTGTCCGTCTCTCTATCTCTCTTTCTCTCTCTCTGGCATATATTTTTATAGTGTAATAATTCGCGCAAAATAATCGTAAATAGCAACACTCAAGGCTCGAGGCACAAGGCTTAAGGCTCAAGGCTCAACGCTCATCAATTAATCAGTCAGACAGAGTAAGTGACTTATAATTGCCTGGGAAATTTAGCTGTTGTAGTTTTTTTTTTATTTTGCCCAAATTTACCTCCGCTAAGTGTTGTTTAATGTATTTTAATGTGCACACTTTATGCACAAAGCAATGAGAGAGAGAGAGAGAGAGAGAGAAAGCGAGTGAGTGTGTTTAATGGCCTTTTGCAAATGACTTGTTCACATTTCATTCATTATTCATGTGACGGTCATGAGTGTCGCCGTATCAGGTTTGCCATCGTCATCATTTGTGCTGCAGTTTGACTGTTGGCCCTTTCGTTCGCACTTGCAAGCGCAATGCATAGGCCGCAAAGGCAGTGACGTGGTCTAGATGAGTGTGGGTACACAATGCAATAACAGCAGCTGCCAAAACGGAAACAAAAACTGTCTCCATTGCGATAAATCAGCAAAAATCGTTATAATCTAAAGTACCACATTTTGATTTATAGTCTTGTACAAGAAAAAAATCGTATTTTTATTTTGGCAAGAAACCCAACTTATAACTTCTTAGTTGCCACTTAATTGGTGCCAATAATTGCAAAAGAAACCGAAGGCATTTTCACGGAAAAAATTCCGAACTGCTTTTGTGGTGCTCACGATTCAAACGCCGACTTAAGCTTAACCTGAGGCATTATATTTAATGCAAATAATTTAAAAATGTTGAGGACTTCTCTTAAAAATGGTTTAGATTTTACCCAAAACTACTTTATACATATTTTGTGAAATGTAATGTTAAAATGTACTCGAATTTTGGGTAAAGTTTTGTGTGGGGTTTTTTTTAAGATAAATTTGCAAGACATCGAAAGAAAATTGTCAGCGGGACAGAATTGCATGGAACTGTGTGTTTAATTGACTTTTAATTATAATCATATCAAAATATCTTAAAAATATTTCATACATGATTTGAAATGGCGTAAGGGTTATCCTATGGATCATCTTTTATCACAAAAAAGTATTGCCTGCTTATTTGGGCAAAACTTCAAGCAATTCATTACAGAGAGAGCTGCCATTTAAAGCTTCCTTTTTGGCAGACTTTGAAGATCAACCCTCGAAAAGATGCATCTATTAATGCTACAGCACTTGTATGTGTGCGTGTGTGTAAGGACATTGAAGTTATTTACCTCATCGGCAGTGTTGGGAATACTCGAGTGGCTGACTGTGGGACTTGGAACCCAAAGCCAAAATGGCAATCTCATAAAAAACACGCATTCCCATCTATCCACACACACGGACGCGCGCACACATGAATTGTCATTGCAGCACACTTAAACGTACACACACACACACACACACAGATACTTTACCACAATCAAACAGACACACATGGAGAGTGGGGCAGCATGCCGGGCGGGCCAACAGCTAGCCAATTTGCTGCCCGTCGTTGAAGAGGGTGGAGTAGGAGTAGACAAAAGAGAAACGAAGCAGTAGAATGTGGATTGTGGGAAGTGGGAAGAGCAGAGAAAAGATAGAGAAGAGTAGGAGATGGGGATGTAGGCTGGAAAAGTAGAAGACATCGAGCGAGGGAAGGGATAGGCCGGGTTGGTCTGGTCTGCCTTCGGCTTGGGCGGCTTTATTGATGGGTGGGCTTTTTAAATTGGGACACGTGCGTTGGTCGCAGCTCCCCACCGAAATTCACCACAAAAACAGATAGCCAGCAGCAGCAGCAGCAGCAGCCGAAAAAAAAGCTCCGCATTCTCCGCTCTCAAAATTGCGCGCGCCCCAAACATTGCTGCTCTCTTGAACGCACTCTCTCTTTCTCTTTGGCATTTTCTCACTGAAATTTTGAAGTCGCCTAAATGATGAAACAGGAAATACCCTAGACAAGGCAAACATTTTGCTATACATGAATTTTTATCTATTGTATAAGAAATAATCAAAAAAAATTTACGAATATTTCTATATTAAAGATAGGATTGAAAAAAGGATCTTTAGGTGGGTTATCTATGAACAAGCCACTAACACCAATATCAAATATAATTCAAATCAATTGAAAACGGCCCTACGCTGTCGAGGATGCCCCGCCTCTGATCTAACCAAAGGTATTATTGTCTATGCCGCCTCGAGCTTCTGAAAGTTTTCTCCCTTGTCCGCCTTGTCGTGTTTTATTTTCGTTTTGTTGTGTTTTCTCTTCTGCTTGCTTCATTTGGCCAAATAACACGTGCACTTGTCGTAGCACTGTCGTCTGCCTCTCTTTCCTCACTGCATCTCTCTTTCGTTCGTTCTTTCTCTCCGTGTGTTGTGTGTGTTTCATTCGTTACCGTTACGGTAGCCCCAAATGCTGCCTGCCTTCTACCGAAGGTTCTGCCTG